AACCTGTGTGGTGGAGAAGACTGAAAACTGTGTTGGAAGAACCCCAAATCCAGAGACATGCCTTTTTTGCTCTTCATTTTACTGTAATCCTAGAAAAAAATGACTTGCCTCGCTAACCTTGGCTTGCCTTTGTACCCGCCGGACCAGTGATGTAGTAGGCTTTTGGTGCTGCGCGCTCCCCTCGGTGGCTGCACTCGGCCGGGCTCTGCCGAGGGCCCCTAACAGCCTATAGCCAGAGAAACTAACCGTACACGGATAAACGAGGTTGTAAGTGCTTGTGGCAGACTCTGCCTCGCTGTGCCATGTTTCTAATAAAACATAAATAAAACTGAAGTTTTACTTGAAGACGCGTCTCCTTCAGACCTTTTATTTGACAACTGTGTGAGCAATTGATGTGTATTTAGCCTTCGCCATCCCTTTTCTGTGTTGTTTTTTTCTTCCCAGCGTTCACTACTTGTGGCTGAAACCTTATCTTCCTCCCTTAAAGCCCCTGTTTAATGATTCAGTTTCTCAGCAGAAGCAAAACCATTTGCTTGGTTTACCCCCCCCCCCCCCCAATAAGTGATACTAAAACTTTTCTCTGCCTCTGTGTGAGGGGCAAACACTTTAGAATCCCTCTTAAACATCTAAACATTTTCTGTGGCTGTGGGCGAGGGGCAAGTAGTTTTGAATCCCTTTCCAAGGTTAAAACAGCCTGTCAGTACTACCTGCGGTGTTCAGGAGCCCCGACCCTGGCTGTCCCGGCGCCGGCCGGGAGCGAGGGGGCGCGGAGTGCCCGCTTCAGCGAGGAGGGAGTTTCCCGCCCTCCCGCGGCGCTGAGGGGACGCCTGCGGGGGCGGGGAAATGGCGGCGGCGCTGCCCTCCCCTCCGCAAGGCGCTGGCCTCCGCTGCGGGCTGGACTCCGGCTGTGAGGGGACTTCGGACCGTCCTTCGGACCTCCTTCACCGACCTTAACTCGGTGAAGAGCCGTTAATGGTGGCTGCAGGGGGTGGCTCTGCCCCCGCAGCCGTGCTGGGCGCTCGGGGCTCCCGTTTCCTCCGTGTGATGACAGGTATTTCAGTCGTTGGTTGTGGCCGCGGTGCAGTAAGCCCACCCGGTAGAATGCACTTTTCTTGTCTCGCTGTAACATTATCTCCTGCTACTGTGTGAAAGTCGTATCTAAACGTTAGGAAAAAGGTGTAAAGAGCAAAGCTCGTTCTCTAGCTGTGGGTGTTGCATTTGGGCCCCCACAGGTGAAGGCTGAGGGGAGCAGCCATCTTGGTGCAAGGGCCAAGTCCCCACACACTGCCTAGCACAGAGGCCTTGGGTACAACTGTAATATAAATATTAAATAATTGTCATAAGAGAAAATAATTTCCTCCTTTCCCAGCTGTTGTTTCTCTGGAAATACAAAACTGCCTGCAAGTATCAGTAGTTTTCCCTCCAGCATTACCTGGTTTGTAGCCCTGTTTCAAAGGCTGATATACTCCTCAGAGATAATTTCGAGACTTGTTAAATCAACCTTTCACAAAAGACATGAGAAGCACACAGTAGCCTATTTCATGCTGCTATCAAAAGGGTGAGAGACCTTGCTGAAATATCATTGGCTCTACACCACAAGGAATATTTGGTGTAAAACCACTGCAGTTGATAAAACACTGGTAACTTAAATGCACAAATGATACTATTTTTCAGGAACAGCTCCAATTTAATGCCTGATGGAGCAGTGTCATTCACACCTGTTTACAAAATGCCTCTCTGTCTAGATTTGTACATTTAAAAACTATTGCTGAGATAGCAAATCACTCTTTGAATCTAATTAGGTAAGTCATCTCTATAAACTTTGCTTGCTCAAATGTGGTCCTATAAAAGAAATCAAACGGCAGGCATTTTTCCAGTCAGTGGAATGAACAGCTACAATTTGATGGCTAGCGTGCTCTGCCTCACTGCTGCAGGATGTTCAAAATTGCAGGCAGTCTTTCTTTGGGAGCAAGGCCATGTTAAATAAACCGGCGTGATTTGAAAGGCCAGGACCATTTTTGCTGACTCTAGACTAGGAAGCAAATTAATCTCCTGTGAGATCCAGAAGCTTTCTAGAATGTAATTATAGTTGTTTAGTTGCTTGTTGGCGTTGTTGATGACTTTTTTTTTTTTTTTTTACTTTCTCTTTTTTTGTATTACCAGCTTACTGCTGTTCCACATAGGAACAAATTTGCAAGCTGTGGTGTTGATCCTGACATTTGGTTGCAGGCTCGCTAATATGCAAGGTAGGTCCCTGTCCATGGAGATGTATTGCAAAAATCAAGTCTCTGAGACTTTGAAAGTCAGGAATACCTTGAAAAGTGGTGCTTGGCATTGTTGCAATGTTTTACTAATAATTCCCCACCTGGCAAATTGAACACGTGATAAAAAGAAAAAAACCTCAAACTTTCAATTGCTGATTATATAATTTAGACTCTGTTACTCTGTTTAAGATCTATTAACCTTCAGGAGGAAAAAAAGGTATCGGCCTCTCCAGATTTCTGCTGCCATAACAATTTGTGAAGAAAGGGTCCAATTTCTGTTTTTTCCAGGTCATATCTTGGTTTAGTTATTGTGTTTGCTCTTTGGAGTTCCCATTGCAAAACCACCTGCAACAACAAAAAGTTTACCTCTGATATTTTGCACTTCATTGGCACTGTTTCTTTGACTGTCCTAAATTACACAACAAATAGCAGTAGTAGGATTTAATTGGATTTGTACTAGTCTCTTACCAGATGTGCTGTGTAACACATTGGAATATGGGGCTAAAGAAGTGTACCTTTCGGCAAGTATCGACTTAAACACCTACTGAGAAAGTAATGATGTTTCTAGCATGGCTGTGGGTGGTTTCCTTGGTGTGGTTTCCCGTTGTATGCATAAGGGTGGCTTTTACTGTTCCTTATACAGAATTCTCTTCCTCAGATTTCAGAGGAATTCATCTAAGTCAGAGTCTAAACAGTCTAATTCAGAGTGCAATAAAGTCACTAAATGCTTGCAAATGTGGAATCACTGTCAGGCCTGTACAAGACTGTGCTAGTTCCTTGGTGCAAAAATCCTTATTTCTGCAATTTGTAACTCCATTTGCACAGCATCTAAACATCTTGCAAAACCAAGCAGTTTATTATTGCAGTGCATTGATACAGAGTAATGGAAGATGTTCTACAAGTGAGAAACAGATTTAGAATGGATTTATTAAAATAAATTATAGTTCAGTCAAAATTTAAGCCAACAGTTACATCCTGGTAAAAGAAAAGGTTCCTTCTCATAGAAGCTTTCTCCAAGCGCTTGCTTTTAAAATACCTTTTCCATTAACGCTTGCTTTTTGAACACTGCTATGGCTGTTTTATAAAGATTGTTCCTCAAGTGTAATTTTTGCTCACTGAAATGAGGGATTGTGAACTCTTCAGAAGCACCAGCTAGAGAAGCAGATTTTGGGTTTTGCTTGGGGGG